CCCCCAAGCAGTTCACCACCACTGCCTCCATCAGGATTCCTACCCCCCTGCTTCACAGACTGCTTGAGTAGCTTGAGACGCCACGCCATGATAGAATAGAACGTCAGTTCTGGAACATGGAAGATATAATCATCGTTGTCCGACTATAACCGTGCATCCGCCAAATTAGGTCAAGCCTTTATTGTTGTTTCAGATTACCGACGCGTTATTCTCACAACCGTAATTACACTTGGTAATAGTATAATTTTATATGAAAACAACACTCTGGTCAATAGTTAGGGCAATTACGCAGCTTTAGAAAGATAGTACATTTATGCCACGTTTCTGAAAATCAATGTTCACGAGCATACACGGTTGGAGTTGAACATCGACGTAATCTAAGTTTGCCGTTTTTTAACTCTTTGCGAAGAATGTGTTTCCCTTTTTATACCGGTTCGCTGTGTTGGAGAAAACATCGGAACTTCGCCCTAATTCCTTACTATATTTCTCAGAAAATATCAGAACTTAAGAATCTAATTCCTTACTATATTTCTCAGAAAATATCAGAACTTAGAATCTAATTCCTTACTATATTTCCAAGAAAATAAGAATGATACACCCCGACAGCCCAGATCCTGAATGTTGGCAGGATCTTCCCAACTGGGAGCCTGACGGAGACCCGTGCCTATTGATCAATCAACTAGAATTGTGAAGAGCACAAGACATAATGCCTCTAATGAACTGTCACTCTCTTTGGTTTTAAGCTACAATCAATGCAACTCGTTGACAAGTGAGCGCTCGACCACACAACGTTGCATGTATGCTCTCTGGGATTGGACACGCGTCCTGGGGGGTACTTACCATGACGTGAGAGCTTTCTTGCTGCGGAATCAGAGCAGTCACCAAGGGGGTTGAGAAGTGCCTGCGCCCAACTGATTCCTTTGATCTGCCTTCAAATTTGTAATTGAAATGACATGGCGAGCTTTGCCACTAAAAATGTTTGAATTTGAGTATCGGACATGCCATTAGAAGACTCAAGTTATTTGTTCTCAACTAACATCGCTCGGATGTCGAGCACATGTTGCCTCTCTTTTCCTATAAGCCTTAGTATATTATTTCATAATAATCTGGCGGTGTTTTTTTTTGTTTTTTGTTTTTTGGTTTTTTTTAGACATGCACTTTTTCAGTCCTGTCACCCTTGCGGTTGACACAGCTCCTCGTTTCTTAAAGCGTTGAATATGTTCTATTCTCTCTTTTATTTCCGTAGCAGATTTTAGCTGCCGTTCGGTTTTGATCATGAAGTTTGAGTTGACGTTTGTTCTAGCTTTTAGCTATTTCCATTCCTCAAATTCTATTTTTGCGTTCACAAGACTGGAATTCAGACCATTTCTACAATGAGACGGGGCAGGGCAGAAAAAAAATTGAGTGGATGAACGAATTATAGAATAATATGAACATTTGAGTGCGTGTGTGAGTGACCAAATGAGTTGACCGTTAAAGCATAAATATGTAAGGAGGTAAGGAAGTAAAATAATTTGAGTAGAAGCACCGTTTATTCCATTGGGTTTTAAAACATTTATCTCAATATGTCCAAAGCTTGTATTGATTGCTCTCCCTTTCCCCTCCTTCTCTCCCCCCCTCTCTCTCT